ATCGTCGGAATGTTGATCTGTCAGCTGTTGATTGGCAACGTTTGGCAACGCTGCTGGGGAGCTCCATTTCCATTGCCAACTGGTCGTTTCCAAAGCCACCCGTTAGCAATAAAATGAAAACGACTCCTGGGGATGCTCTTAGCAGGGTACCTGCCTCCTATTGGCTCGGGATTTCAACCTGGCATCCGCTCAACCCCTCGAAACTCGAAACGGAGGACCCAACTGAAGGACCCCAGAGTAAAAAGTACGGTTGAAATCACTGATCGATCGCCACTTGGCAAAACATGTTTCAGATGGTCCGTGCCGTCTCCCTTTATAAGGGCTCGGCCAAACACACACAAAATTTGGGAGTTCATTTCCCAATTTCCACTTTCAACATGAAAGCGAGCCAGATCCTGTCGGCGCTTGCGGTCACGGGTCGATCCAACACGGTCCTGCTTCTTTGGGCCGCAACTGTTGCCATAGTTTATTTGGGTTGCTTTCAGCTGCTGGCGCTTCGCCCACTCTCGACGACGTCACCAAATCCGGTTTCGCCTCCGCTGCCGACAAAGGCGGTTGACACGGCTGCTGTTCTCAAGACGGCGACAATGACGCTGGCGACACATCCCGTTGATGCGATGGCAGCTGACCCAATCATGGTCATGCCGACGCCTGCGCCGATCGTTTCTGACAGCAATGGCAACGTGTACCCCATCGACCCCAACGGCAAGATCGCATGCGCAGTGCTCAACATGGCGCATTTGGTCGAAGAGTTTGTCGACAAGACCGAGTGCTACACCGTCGCGGAGCGCCGCGCCCGCCTCCGAATACTGCTGCTCGAGGCTGCTCGGGCTCTCGAGTACCAAAAGATCGAGTTCTGGCTCGACAGCGGGTCGCTTCTCGGTGCTGTTCGTGAGCATGACGTGCGCCGAGATGATGTCGACACCGCTATTGGTCTCACGCAAGCGGCCATGGACCAGCTGCGTCAAACACGGCTGATCACATTGCATCCGCGCTACGCGCTCTTCCTCAAGAACAGCCCAAACCACCTTGACGCGCCGTTCTCGTACCCGTCGGGTCGCTTTGTCGACACGCAGACAGGGCTGTACACGAACGTTTTTGAGTTTTACCCGAAGCGGCAGCCGGCCAACGCCCCCAACTCGATCGCGACCGGCACTCTCGGCGCCGAGCTAATGCTTTGACCAAGACTGTGGTGACCGAGATGCTTGGGCCCGTCGTGTCTCCGCACACGGCGGCGTGCAAGTACTGCGCCGACGAAGGCCGCTTTAACGTGCCGACCGACTGGATCTTTCCGCTGCGGCGGTGCTCCATCGACGGCTTTGACGTATTTTGTCCCGCACGCGCGGACAAGTACCTGACGCTAATGTACGGCGACATGGACATGATCGAGCAGTAAAATAGCAATATGAATTATGATATATACAAGATAACTTTTACATTCTATTATCTTGAGACGAGGTTGTTGGTTGACGACATCGCTTCTCGGCAACCTGATGCGATTTTTTTGTGAGCCGCTGTGCTGGCAGCCATGAATTGCGGGCCGTTATAATGCTTGCCACCGTGATATCCATCACGCTCAGAACTGATAGGGCGTGTTCGATGTTTTTGTGTAGACTCCGGTGCATCAAGGCAAAAGTGGATCGGACGGGGTTCACTTTTTCGTGTTTGGTGGAAAAAAAGTGCATCGAGGCGGCGCGGATCAACATTCTCGGAATCCATGTCCCGAGGTGGATTCCAGCCATCGCAAAGTAAACCGGGCAGTTTTATCAAGAATACGATTTACAGGCGCGCAAAATTGCGCGGGCATTTGAACGGAAGGCCGATGACGAGGACATAGTTCTCCTTACGTACCCAATGGCCGTGGCGGCGACCGCATCAGCCATACCAGGTATCAAGGACGAGCTTGTCGATAAGGAGCCGCCCGAGAATAGGCCGCAACCTTGGTTCGTGCGCCCGGCGACGTCGTACCTGGCTCAACTCAACGCCCAGCGCGACCTGCACCATGACAGTGGTGACCGTGCACTCTATGACACTTTCCACATCAAGCCCCGATGCGGAAACGCTCGACCAAGGCAATCTGAAGTTCGCGCGACTAGGCCGCAGCGGCTGCGGCCGCAGCGGCTGCAATGTTTCCGCCAAAAATTCGCGCCGATAAAAATTGTTGGCCGATCCATGTCATCACGTCCTGGATCCAATCGTGTTCGGTGAGAATTCCTGGTGGTGGATCAGACGTGCAAAACACCAAGCTGCAGATTCCGCGAATGTCGATCCCGGATGTGGATCCACTTATTTAACCGAACACGACCATGACGATCAAACGCAAACGGCACGAGACACGCACGAACAGGCGCACGCGGCTGCCATTTCGAAACCGGTACATAACGCCACCAATGCGGAGCCTTTCCCAGAGCCGTGTCATTCCACTTTGCTGACAGGCTGCTACAGTTATCAACGACCAAAATGGGCCCCAGTAGTACATCAAAATGTATAGAGAATTGCATCGAGGGGCCTCACTTTCCCGTCGAAAAAAAGAATATAAATTCGACACAGTTATTGGTACCACTAAGAATCGGCGTCTCTGATTCGTCAAAAAGCTGTACAATAGAGCCTATCAATGGCTTGTTCCATCGGTTTGCCCCAATTCTGGGGAAGAGCTTGGGACAAACATCGGTTTGCCGGGATGGTCTACGTTGAGGCAGACGTTGAGGTACACGTACTCCTCCTTGCGCTTGATCGTCGGCGAAAGGTTTCCTTCGGGATGTTCTGCGTCTTGGTGAAGGCACGCATGCTGCAGTTCTTGATGGGGTCGGCAGAAGTTGACGACCACGCACGAAGTGTTGCCGCTGGCGTTGCCTCGTAAAGTGCGTTGTGCATTTGGACACACTGCGGCGGGGGCTAGCTCTTCCGGGGGTGGAAATCAATGTCGAATACGTGCGCGTTGAAGCATGCCATAGACAACTTAAGGTCCCACTTCCGAGCCCGTGCAGGTTAGGTGTAGCTAGCTGGCTATTGAAGTAACTCTGCTCAATCACTTTCCAATATTTATCCACGCCAAAAGTCCAGCTCAAGACAAAGCACTTAGCCGAGCAGAGGGCGATACCGTCACGGTCCGCCCACTGCGACGATTCGAAGTGCGTCATCGTGCACGCTACGTGCGCAAGTCCGTCACACATCATGCATGGAGACCAGGTCGTCCTCGGTACAAGCAACGAGAAGGCACCGCATAACAGTCGGCATTGGACCACCACCAATTAAAAAAAAAGTCAGGAAACCGATCAAATTTGTCGATTATTCGGCATTTTGGCCAATCAGATGACTGCCGTCGTTTTCCCCATGATTCACAAACGACGCTCTGTGATTGGTAAAAATGTGTCCTTATTTGCATTTGACTCGGATGACTCCGTGGCTCATTTTTATTCATAGAACCACTGTAGCCAAGTTTGGTCGTCGTTATCTGCATCCGGACATCGTTGAGCACCACTGTTGCTCTTGACCGGTGATTGGCGGCGATCAAAGATACTGCGATGGTCGCAACTCGTTCCCAGGTTTTCACTTTTGATTTTGCTGCAACACGCTACAATGGTGCTTATCTCTGCCACTGAGATCATCGAGACGGCCATGGAACTCGGGCTCTCATCTCTCATGGCCTTTGCCGGCTACAAGTACCTTTTGATCTCGGGTCGCTTTTGCGCGTTTGTATTTCCGGCCTTGGCGTTCTTTGGGTCACTCTCGGCGTGGACGACGCCACCAACTGCCATGTACTACCTCGTCGGCTTTGGCATCTCGGTCGCTGCAGTTCCCGTTGCGTGGCTTCTCCCCGTTGTCGGCACCTTTTGCATCGGGGCACTCGCAGGCTACTTTGCCACCGCGTTCGCACTCCTTGTCGCAGGCGTCGGTCTCCTCACGGCTCACGTCATCGGTCTCTTGGTGGCCGTGCCCGTTGGTATCGCCTGCATCGGACGCCGCTTGCCGCTCATTTTTGCCTCGGCCTTTGCGGGCTCGCGCTTGGTACTTGCGTCACTGATGATTTTGTACTTTATGATCTACCCGCCGACAGAGGCCAACGCGGTCGTGTCGCGCGATGCGGGCCTCACGGACGTGAGCTACGCGATGCTTTTCCTAAACTTTGGGATATTTGCGGCCGCCCTTCTTGCGCAGCTCAAGTGGACGGCGCCGCCAACTGTGGAAGCGTCGACGCCGCCGCTTGTCGAGACCACGACGCCCCAAACCATCTACAAGCAGATTTAGTGGAACGTCGCAGAATGGCAGAGCCAAGGGAATAACACAATATATCCCTTGAGCCGAGCACAAGAGATAACAAGTAAGACGCTTGAACTTCGCTTGGATGAGTGCACCATTTTCCTGGTTGGAACGTTTACGTGGTGTACCAGCATTCCAGGGGATTAATTCGTATTTTCTGGCCAACCCATTGGCTATAATTTACACCATTTTGGCCAATGCAACGCAGTTGCATTGGTCTAAGCCAATCGCATCACGCGGAGCATGTCCAGTGAAGTGCGATTTTGCCGTTCCTGTTAAGTGCTGTCCATGTTGGGACATTATACTTGTTTTTGTAAAAATTAAGTACGACGCACTTCTAAGAGCACATGTCGAACATAAGGTATTTCCGCACCTAATCGCAATGCAGCTGCATTTGGATTGCAGAAGCGCGCGAAGACTGCAGCAAGCGCCGTCGTCGCAATACCGTTAATCAACACTTCGCGTTCATTACAAAAGTTCCTACCAGCTCACCCCGCAAGGGACCTGTTTAGCAGAAAGTCGCTGGAGGGTGAAGGTCGCATTATAAAACGTTTTGATTGGGCAATAATCCAGATAAATGGACCAATCCAAGGTCACGCGATACCAGCAGCGTCACGCAAGGTCGTTCGCGGAACCAAAATGCGTTCTGAAATCAGAGTCGATTTTACTCGGCCAAACGGTTGGAGATGCATAGGAGAGCACAACACACTACATCGCGTGGACGTGCGAGGCATGAAGCGTGCGCGACGAGCTGCGCTACTAAACATGGTACATACCAAATATAGACACATATAGTCACTTTTAGTAGCGCGGCACATATCAAAATTTGCGTCGCCCACTGAGGGCCGTTGATTTATGTTCTAGTACCCCGCTGCGACTATACTACTATAACAACTCTACAAGAGGCGTGTACATTCGCTCCCAGCATGGTTGATGCGACCAAGGTCTTGGTGCTTGCCCGGTGCTACTGCTATCACGTCACCCGTGAAAGCATTGCCAACGATCAAAAATCCTCTCGATCCATAGGTCCATTCTACCTTCAGATAGCTCTTCAAATGATACATGCGCAGGTTCCTTCCGTCAGCTCTTGTCGTCGTATTTCTCGTACAACTACGCGGCGGCAATGGCGTGCCCGTCTCGTACTCCTCCTCACGATCGTCTCTGTCTTCTGGATATCGACCTCCTTTTTTCGAGCGAAACCACATCTCGTCCACATATTGCAGCAGGACCTTGTGCAAGTTGCCGTAACACCGCCGTCGACAACGTCGCCAACGCCCGTACCGCTCGTCACCGACGACCGTGGCAGTATCTACCCACAAGACCCTAACGGCAAAGTCGACTGCGCCGTCCTCGTCATGGAGCATTTGGTTGAAGAGTACGTCAACAAGACCGAGTGCTACCCCGTCTCGGAGCGCCGCGCCCGCATTCGAACCATGCTCCTCGAGGTCACTCGGGCGCTGGAGCACCATGGTATTGAGTACTGGCTCGACAGCGGCTCACTTCTCGGCGCTGTGCGTGGTGGCGACATCATTCCTCACGACGTTGACGCCGACCTTGGCATGACGCAAGCCTCGATGGACGAGCTGCGGCGCACGAATCTCTCGACGCTCTTGCCGCGCTACGAGCTTTTCCTGCGCGACAGTCCGCTGTACCAGGATGGTCCATTCCCTTACCTCCCAGGGCGGTTTGTCGACACGCACACGGGCCTGTACACGGACATTTTCGAGTTCATTCCGGCGCTTCGGCCGGCCAACAGCTCTTTCTCAACTGCAAATGGCACGGTCGGCGCGCTGCTCATGCCATCAGTCAACGCAATTGTCAACGGGACGATTGAGATGCTCGGGCCCGTATCGTCGGGCTGCTGGTGGACGTGCAAATACTGCGCTGCGTCGTGGCACTTTAGCATCCCGCGCGACTGGGTCTTCCCGCTTTGACGATGCTCGATCGACGGCATCGACGTGCTATGTCCCGCGCAACCGGACAAGTACCTTACAATGCTCTATGGCGAGACGTACATGAAGGTTTCCTAATCCAAATTCTAGAATTGTCTATAGACCGTATTGCACTATACATTTATTTATTGCAAACTGGATCTAGAATTGACAAAATACAGTGCTTGAGTCGGGGTATTGCATGCGGATAAGCCCACAAGCATCAACAGTGCCGTTGTAAATGCATGCGCCAAGTGCGACCAACTTGACAGACATGACGAGGGCACAATGTGTATTCATTCTTGGGATGACCACGTGCCAGCCAGGTTTCGCAAAGCTGTACGACGTCACCTTCCATTATGATTGCTTTAGCGCCGCGCTTCACGTGTGTCCTACGCGCGTGTCAAGCGCGGGGGCAAGACGGTGATGCACCCACGTTCTGCGGCCCATGCGGTAACGAACTCACAACTAACTGCTAATAGTCGAATTCATTCCTGCACTTCCATGGTAGTTTCTCGCACTTTAGTACTAGTCTACGCTATGAAACGACGACACTATGTCTCTACTAGCAATGTACATAGCCATCTCTCATCGCTGAACAGACAAGTGGAGTGCGTCTCACGTCGTAAAGAGCAGTGCCGATCCGGCTCCATTTGGGAATGTCAAAAGGGTGGGGAGGTTTATATCCGGACGTACGTATGGAAGAACTTTGCACTTTTCAATTTGCAATGAGCGAGAACGCACCGTACCTGCGCATGCTGGGCTTCATGGCCGTCGTTTTGATGGCGGTTGCGATCCCACTTGCCTTTTATGGCTACCGCTTGCTGCCGCACACGGCGCGCGTCAGCACCTTCTTCGTCGTCTTCCTCCTCGCGGTGCAAGGCGTCGTGACCTTCTCGAACGACGACGATTACGACCCCAACATGCACGTGATTGGCCTTATCCTCGCCTTGTTCACGGCCCTCGCCGTCTTCAAGCTCCCAACGGCAGCCATGTTTAGCATCGGCGCGCTCACGGGCGCGTCCATTACCATTGAAGTCCTCAGCTATACGCTCCTGGGCGACTTGTGGACGTTTGTCGGCGCGCTTCTTGCAGCGCTTGTGGGTGGCGCCTTTTGCCTTGGCCGTCGCGCGCTTCTGATCGTCTGCACGTCGTTCAACGGCGCGATGCTGTTTATGACGGGCGCCTCGCTTTTGCTCGTGTACCCGTCGACGAGCTTTGCGGTGATCTACTTTGGCGCGCATCTGGCGATCTTTCTGCTCGCGATGCTCGTCCAGTTCAAGTTCACGGCGCGCGACATTGATCACGACGTTGGCCGCAGTGATATCGCTCGCGAGAAGGCCATGGTCGCGACACCTGAGGCCTACGCCAACACCGTCTAAGGAGCTTAATTTATGTCCGTGCTTTATCTTCGTCAAATGCCATGGCCCCGACCTCGCTGCGTCCAGTCCTAAAATACTCGAACAGATTGGAGACCGTCCAGGTCTGCATCATAGTCCCAAACGTTTGTTTCCACATACCGGTCGTGGTGCATTGCTCTGCGCTTGGTCGAATAGCAGCTAGAAACGCCTCGTGGAAGAGGTTTTCCGCGCAAGTCGGAGCGATCTAGAAGACCACGATCCAAAAGCAAACACAAAATCCAAGATCCAAAATCCAGGCGCAGAGCAAGCAAGCTCAAGCCATTTCCAAATTGGTAGTGTCAGTCAAACAGCTAACCCGCCTCGCCCACCACGGGCACGGCGGACACCGACACGGATGTTGCCCCCAAGTAGTTCGGTCTTGGTAGAGGAAACGCAGATTGAGTGAATCTGTCCAAGACTTCGTGATCGCACCGATGCACTTATACTACCAGTCCATTGGTGTGACGACGACTGTGACGGCGCATTGGTCGGCGCTATCTTACATCATGGACATAGCCACGGGATGGATTAAGTTAGTCACGAGGACGACAACGTATGTCTAGGTGCTGGATTGGTCGGTCGGCTGCAGCGAAAAGCGCTGGGAGGTAGCGCGCGAGCACTTGGCGATCGTGGGCTGCATCGGTCGCCGCGCATCCAAGCAGGAGGCGCCGTCACCGTGCGTCAGCCGCAGCGTCTTCTCGTCGTAGGCCCACTGCATGCTCATGTCGTTGTCGTCGCACGCGGCAAGCGCAACGCGCTTCGTGTCGTCGTCGCTCTGAAGGCAAAGGCTCGATGCAGAGTGTTTTAGGAGCCCATCGGTCGTGCGCAGCAGCCACACGCCGCCATCGTACGGGTACTTGCGCGCGCGAAACTGGACCGTCTCGTTGCGGTACAGCACGAGGCGGGCGCCGGTCGAGTTGAGAAAGATGCGCACCGGCGCAGGTCTGTCGTCGTCGTGGCTACCGCTGCTACTGCCGTCGTGGCTACGACTGCTGCTGTCGTTCTTGCCGCTGCTGTTCTTGCTGCCGTCCTTGCTACTGTCGGTGCCGTCGGAGATGATGTGCAGCGTCTGGTCGGGCGACGAAGTGTCGCAATCGACGAGCGTCAACGACATCTTGGTGGACGCCGCCAAGCACTTGCTGTTGGGTCGGTACACGAGCTGGTGGTTGCGGAAGATCCATTTTTGGTTGTAGTTGATGCGCTGGCACGGGTAGCCCTTGATGTCGAGCGCCGCATACGCCGACGTGGTGCCGTACGAGGCGTCGAGGCAGAGGCCCGAGACCGACGACCGGAGCTGCTGCGTATTTGTGTCGTACGCCCAGCGCTCGACCGGCGGCGGACCAAAAAAGGCCACCCAGTTCTCATCCGTTGCCAGCATCGACGTGGCCACCGTCACGTTGGCGCCGCTCTTGAACGAGAGCACGGCCGCGTTGTTGTACGACGACGTGTCGTTCGACGCATCGTGAGGCAGCCGATGCAGCATCTGACGCATGCTCCAGCGGTTCTGGCCGTCGTACATGGTGTCGTCGCCCGCCACCTTCCACGTCCAGTACGTCCAGCCGGCGCCCGCAGCGTTCATCGTGTTGAGCATCTTGCGCATGAACGGCTGGAAGGCGTCAAGCTTCTTGAAGGTGCCGTTGGCCGTCACAAAGCTCCACTCGCCAAAGAGGAGCGGGTGGCCTTTCCAGGACGAAATGCGCTTGGTGAGGTCGTCGACGCCGTTCTTGTGCAAAAGCTTGTCTTCGTCGTAGTCTTCGTAGCCCCAAATAAGATATGGGTGCCACTCGACCCAGACGTTTGTCATCGACTTGTCGAGGTCCTCGAGCTGCCCCGTGAGCTGCAGCTGGAGCTGCGGCATCATGACGAGGATGCAGTCGGTCTTGGCGCGGAGCTCGTGGTACATGTCGTTGTAGTATTGCTTGAGCACCTTGAGGTCCAGGTCCGCGGATGGTTCGTTGAGCAAGCCAAGCCCCAGGAACGCGGGCTCGTGCTGGTACCGGTCGATGAGAAAGTGTGCAAACGTCTTTGTGGCGGCGACTGTCGCTTCGTCGCCCCACTGAATACCGTCGACGACGCCGCTGTGGTCTTTGCCGTTCTGCGAGCCGGGCGCACCGTGCAGGCTGATCAGCACCGCCACGTTGTGCTTGAGCGCCCACTTCTTGACGAGCGCATCGAGGTACGAAAGGCCGTTCTCAGCATACACCGAGCACTAGCTTTCGAATAAGAAACCGATATCTTATTGCAAATCGGTAGTGTACCTGCTTTTTGATCGTGTCGTCCTTGATGTGATCACAGCCTTGGATCCAGTATCCGACGGGCACGCGGACAGTGTTGAACTTGGCGGCGGCGACGGCCTCCACGTCGGCTTCGGTGATGAACGTGCTGCGGTGGCGTTCAAAAGCGGCTTGGCCCTTGTGTCCGAGCGCCTTCATGGCATGGTACTCGCCGTGCTCGCACTCGTGGTTTGGTACGTCGTTCCAAATGGACGCGTCCTGCGTCATCCAGTTTTCCGCCACGAGCCAGCCACCGAGGTTCACACCGCGCAGGGGCACCTTGCGCGCGCGGACGTCGACTTGGATATGGCCGACGACGGTCGCGCTCAGCAGCGCCAGCGCGACAAGGCAGCGGAGAAGAGGTTGCATGCTCTCAAAATCAAAACTGAACGGCAAAGGCAATCTGGCACGTGGCAGCCTGTGTACGCATGTTTCGAACGCTTCCATGCGACACCAGGTGGTCACAGCGAAAGTCCAAGCAGCGTCTGCTGGCATTTAAATGCATCTTTTACATTTGAGTAAAACTGTAGTAACAATGTACTACATACAACGAGCTAAAAATATGCTGTTTGAAAAGTGACATTGGACGACTACGAATGCGACGGGAAAACGGGTGGGCGCTCTGATACAAGCCTGCAAACCGTGAACCGTGAACCGTGGCCGCGGGTGGCACGGCGTCTGGCGTGAACAGCGCCCGAGCCAAACTGGATCAGGATATACGACTGCAATAGGAATTCTGTTCTGGTAACTTTGAATAGCCATGTACGACGACGGCGCCAAACAAAATACGATGTCATACTGGTGCATAGCTGACGACGACCGCATAAAGTGTGGGGAACTAACAAACGCGCCTAATAAAAGCGAAGAAGAGAGGACGAGAAGATCGACTTTCGAAAGACGTATCATCGTTCCATCCTGCCGTCGACCACCGCCATGTCGTTCGAAAGTTGACATGGCCGTTGAACAATAAAAATAGAGCACCAAAGTGTGTAGCAGCCCGTCGGTCAAGTGGTATCATGTACTGTTTTATGCGCTGTACGAGTGGCCACGAGAGCTCTGTAGAGATGAATATGTCAGTGCACGGTTCACGCAGGCGGCATCCCAGCTATCGAAGCATGTCCATTTTTTACGCGCGTTTTCCGTCCTCGCAGATGCCTCCGCGCGAGACGCTGTTTGGTCTACACTGGATCATGCACTGGATCGTCGCCACGTAGCCCACATTGCAGACGTGTGCAACCATGTTTGAGCCGCAGGCTGTCAGATACACTGTAGTGCAAAATACTGTAGCAACATGAAGACCCACACGACAAGATTTGAGTCCAGTAGCCACGCCCACCCACCCATCCCCTTCGCCCCAAGCGCCAAGTTCCAATGCCGTTTGCTGAGTTGCAGCCGGCACGCGGAGCAAACTTCACGCGTACGCTCAAATGCATGGGACGTGTAGCCTCCTGCACCACTCTTTGTGGCGACGACAAACGTGCTCCGGACCAGCGACCGCCAAAGTCCAGTGGCTGACGCTGGCAGTGGCCAGAGTCGGCGCCTTCAAGTTCCGAGAAGCCACCAATCCCAGCACGGGTGCTACGGTCCAGCGCACGCGCCCGTCTCGTCACCGGTGTCGGTGCCGTCGCCATCGTCGTCGTCGTACCGGTGCGCTGGCTGTCGACGTCGTGGCAGCAACAGACATGGGGTCACATCGATGGACCATCGTCGTTATCGCGCGCTGATTGGCTCGTTTTTCAAAACTGTCGGTTACGCGAGCTAAAATGGCGCGCGACGACGCAACCGTGACGTATTTTTTTTCTTTTTTTGTGTCGTCCTCCGTATAGTTTCCGACTTTCATACTAACATCAAGCTATTGCCCGATATTTTTATTCGAAAAGCGTTTCCAGCGTATCCTTCTGTTGTTCGCATCCGGATGCGAGTCGTCCGGATACGCCAATACGCCATTTTCGCGTTCATTTGGCAACACGCAGGCCCATGGACGACGTCGCGATCGCGCCGCTGCCGGTGGACGCCAAGCTGCCGCCCGCCCTGGACGTCGCCGCCATGGCCGACGCGCATGCAGGTCTCGAGTCGCCGACGTCCACGGAGCAGATCGCGCCCATGGACGCGGTGGCCATGGAGGAGATTGACAAGCCCAAGGACGCGACCGTTGCGCCGACGACCAAGTCGCACGAGGTCGCAGCTGTGGTCGAGGGCCTCTGCGCGCTCAAGATTGAGACGATCGATGCACCCGAGCCGGCGTCGTCCAAGGTCTCGGCGATGGTCGACGAGATCAAGACGCTCCTCAACTCGCCGACCAAGATCCCGTCCTTGTCCAAGCCCGACAAGCCGTCCATGATCCCACCGCCGTCGCCGGTCGCCAAGACGACGGCGATCACACATGCCAAGACGACCAAGGGCGCGCCGAGCCCGTTTGCGCACCTCAAACGAAAGTCCATGTCGCCGACGCAAAAGGACGCGTTGGCCGCGCGCCTGTATACGAAAGCGATGGAGCTCAAGCACAAGCGCGACGAGCTCTCGACGCAAGCCCCGGAAGAGTGCACGTTCAAGCCCAACACGACCAAGCCCCACATCAAGCACACGTCGTCGGACGCAATGCAGTCGAGCGGACCGTCGTCCGTCACCTCGAACGGGTCGGACAAGGACCGGTTCAACATGCTGCACGACCAAGCCAAGGAGCTCGCGCGCCGCAAGGAAGCGCAGAAGCAGTCGGCGCAGGCCGAGTACTCGTTCAAGCCCGAAATTTCAAAAAAGTCCCGGCGCATGTCGCTGAAGCTCCGTCTCCGCAAAGCGCACAAGGGCGAAAGCGATGCGACCACGATCTCGAGCCCGAGAAGCGTCGACGGCAAGCCGACCCGGCGCCACGAAGAGCTGTATGCTCAGCACCTCGAGCTCGCGGCGCGGCGAAAGCAGAAGCAGCTCGAGATGGAAGCCAAGACGGCTGAAGAGTGCACGTTCCAGCCCAAGATCAAGAAGCTCAAGGGCAAATCGCCGGCCAAGAGTCGACCGCTGTACGACGCCGAGCGCGAGCGTCTAAAGCGCCTCGAAAAGGAGGAGAAGAAGAAGCAGTTTGAGATGGCCGAGTGCACGTTTCGACCGGCGGTCCAGCGCACCAAATCGACCGAGGCCAAAGCCGACGACAAGTCGTTTTTGGACCGGATGCAGGAAAACGAGCGCAAGAAGGAAGACCGTCTCGAAGCGCTGCGCAAAGAGCAGGACGAGCGCAAGCTCAAGGAAGCAACGTTCCGGCCCAAGATCATCGAGACCAAGTCGTCCAAAGCCCTTGCCGACGACAAGCCGTTCCACGAACGTCTCTTTGATAAAGAGTACTTGCTCCAGCAGCAAGCGGACCGCGAGCGCAAGAAGCTCGAGCAAGAATCGTTTTCGTTCAAACCGTCGATCGAGTCGTCGCTCGTGTCGATTCCCGAGCGCCACGGCAGCATTTTCGAAGTACTTGTCTCTACATTGAAAAAGGTATACAGTCTCATGACCACCGTAGCGGCTGCACGACGAAGGTCTCAAGAAGATGGAGCAGCTGAGCCTCGCCGAGCAACAACGGTTGAAGCGCGAAATGGAAGAGTGCACGTTCCACCCGCACGTGTCGATCGAGCTCAAGGAGCCGCCGACCGAGCCGGTCTGGGAACGCCTCTCGAACGACAAGAAGCACATTCTCGAAGAGCGCCAGCGGCTCAAGGAAGAGAACGAGGCCAAGGTACCGACACTCGACGTGTTATGATTCGATCGGAGTGCATGGTAGGGCTGCACCTTCAAGCCGGACCTTGGCGCGTCGATGCGGAGCCCGGCGCGGCGCAACACGACGCTGCTGCCGCCATCGACATCGGCGCCGGCCACAGCGCCCCCGGACGTCTCACCGCCCTCGTCGATCGCGCGGCAGTTGCGTCGCCAGACGTCCCCGCAGCTTGATCTGCCCGTGACGGCGCTCGTCGACGTGGCGGCCGTGCTCACGACAGACGACACATCGATGCCTCCGGTGCGTCTGGCTGCCATGTACTGAAGAGTGATCCTGAATGTCGATATAGGCGGCACCGAGCCTGTTGCCTCCGTTCCCGCCGGTTGTCGGCGACGAGGTCTCGGAGCAGTCGCGCAGCATCCTCGACAACTACGACTCGTGGGCGGCGACGCTCGAGGAGAAGATGCGCGAACTCAAGTAGGCGTCTCGGTGTCCCGTGGCGAAGGCGGATGGTTTTCTAAGTTTATAAACGAGTCATTTTTTGTGTTATCGTTGAACTCCAAGGTAAACTCCAAGGTGGTCCCGGTACGAGCAGAGGTTAGAGCGCATTTCTTGGCCTGAGACACGCTAGCTATGATAGCGCTCCGTCACGTGGACTAAGTTAGGACACTGAAAAAGAGTACGTGGGGTGCGAGTTTCCCGTCCTTTGCACTAAAATTAGTTCACAATCGGAAAGGCGGCCGTAGTAACCATGATGACAGGTATCGCGACGACCGAGACGGCGCCCGACAGCATCTTGTGCAAGTCGTGCAAGCAGCTCGTGCACCTCGATGACCTTGGCGACCACGACTGCTCTGGGCCACTGCTCTCGCGCGCCAACACGGGCTTCAAGTTGCACGAGGTACTGCCGCCGGTTCCTCCGCTCTCAGTGCCGCGTCCACTGCCGAGCATGGCGCAACCGTCGCCAACCAAGTCGCTCACGCCGCGGTCGTCGGTCACCGAGTGGGCGTCGCTGATCCAGGCGCGCATCGCCAAGGTGCTCGTGACAGCCGAAGGCTACGCGGCGTATGTGATCGTGACGACGCTGTGGCCCAACGGCCCTGAATTCACCGTCGAGCGCCGGTACCGCGAGTTCCATGCGCTCGCCGAGACGCTGTATGCGATGCACCCGTCGTCGGCGCTGCAGCAACGGCTGCCCCCCAAGCTCTACTGCCAGCAGACGCGCAGTCTCTCGGACGGTTTTCTACTGCGTCGCAAAGTGGGTTTGGAAGGTACAACACATCGAAATTGATAGCAACCTCTCGAATGCAGTAACAGGCTTCCTCGTCGCGGCCATCGACATGTTCTTGAACCCGTCGTCGGCCGGACCGTCGGCGAAGCGGACGTTGACACAGCTTCATGTGCTCAACACGTTTCTCGGGCTTCCGGCCGCCAAGGACGTCCACGGTGCCATGCAAGGTACCATATGTTAGTTCATTTACGTGCTGCGAACGATACCCTAGAGCTCAAAATGCTCTCGTCGGCGCATGGCTGGACGCTCGTGCACGCACCGTCGCTGCTCGATAGTCTGTACGAAAAGACGATTGATGGTTTCATGTCGCTCAAGCGCACGACAACGCTGCCATTTCCAGCACGCGCCGTCTTTGACTTGCTCACGGCGCACCCTGGCTCGGCGTTTGCGGCGAGTACGAACCCGTTCTTGGTGCACGGCGCGATCGTCCGTCGTGAGTCCAACCACGTCTGGGTCGAGCACCGCTTGTACCGAACGTTTTGGGGCTGCCCGCACGAAGAGCTCCATAGCCTCAAGAGCTGGCGGTGCGTTCGGGCATTTTCCTCGCATTTTCCATGATTAGCTATTTATGTACGGTTGTGTAGACTGGAAACGGACGGCACAATTGTCATTGTGACCCTTCCTGCGCCCGCAAGCGACGTGCCGACGGCGTCGCGGCATCGCCGCGTCGACTGCGTCCTCCAAGGGTACCTCATCCGCCCCATGGAGAAGAACGCGTGCCACGTGACGATGGTGTTGCAGATGGACTACCGCCGCTTCTTTGGGTAAGTCAATGTTGCACTAGACCAAGAGGAGCTCATGTGATGTCGTAGGTCGTTTGTGCGGCCGGCGCGCACGCTGCTCCTGCGCCATGCCGCGGAGCTCAGCGCGATCCAGACGCATCTACAGCGCTCGTTTGACGCAGCTCACTACGAGGCCCTGGGTCCGCTCGTCTCGGCAGACGGGCTCAAGGCCCTCGAGTTGCACCTCGCTGACACGCAAAGCCTCTCGACGATGGACAAGGACCCGAAAGGTGCAATGTATCCGCCTTGTATCAACTTTGTATCAATTATCCGGATAGTGTACGTGGTGTGCCAGCAGATCGAGCCCATGTTTTGCCTCCTCGTGCACAAAAACTCGAACCGAAACGCGCTCGTGCTCAAACTCAACATCGACTTGCGGTCCCATGACGACGCGCTGCGCTTGCACCCGAAAGAGCCGCTTCTCGCCGAGTGGATCATGTTTGAGAAAAAGAACAATCCTCGGTATCAATCTATCGAATGCATCGGGTAAACAGTATATATATGGGTCGTAGGAAGGAACTCTCGGCCATTGAGCGCAACACGACGTATCAGTTTTCAACGCGCGCGATTGGCCAAGGCGTCTTTCTTGTCGCGTTCTCGATGCTGCGGGGTGCGTCGTCCATTATTGAAATATCCCAATATTTAAATATTGCAATTCTCATGGTGATGATACGTAGGCAAGGAATTCCAGCTGCGCGTCGGCAAAGACGCAGGCTACAACCTCTACAGCACAGTCAAAGGCAAGCCCAACGTGCTCGTAAAGCGCCTGTACTTGACGTTTGCGCCGTCGCTCGTCGGCCTCGGCACCCTCGAGTCGGTGCAGATCGTGGGCGACATAGCGTCCGAGCTCGTCGTGCTCAAGTAGACGCACGACGCGCCGCTGTCATCGCTTGCATGTTGATTTTCAATGAATTGTCTAGTCAATATCTTGTCGGCACGGTGATCACGATGGGCAGGTGGAATCTAGTACCGCTACCCACGGGGCCAAGTCAGTACTACTACGTCAAGAAAAATGCAAAACTTAAGTGTCACCATCTCACTCGCTATCACAACGAGACCAGTGGCGTCGACAATGTGTACCGTAGGTGAAGGTGCGGGCGTCGTGGCCGCTGAAGCGCGATCTTTTGGTGCTACAGATTATGGGACAAATCCGGGCGTTTGATTGGCTAGTGGGAACGATGGAAATGGTCTTTCCACTTCAGCTTGACTTAACACGGAGAATTTGCCATTGCCTATATAAAGAGATAGGTGTTTTGGCGTCCACTGAAAAAGAGACAACTTTACAGCGAAATGAACTTGGCGGGAGACAGGCGGTCACACAGGAAGATATTCAAGATTGCCATTGATGCGCAGCGGAGATGCAAAATGGCGTACGTCGCCGGAAGCCATCCGCGCTTGCCATAGCCGGAGACGACTCTGGGACGGGTCACAGTCGCGCCATCGTCGCTGGGACGGGTCGCCGTCATACCTTGGTTGCCCACCACCTTGGTCATTCTTCATCTTACTTTGCAGCAGCCCAGTCGATTGACCATGTCGTTCGCCAACGATGACCTCGGCACAACGCTGGACCTCGCACCAATTTGCCTCTCGGACGTGGAGTTTAGCGCGACTTTGGGCTATGAAATGGACGAAATCAAGTTCATATTTGAGGCGACGCAGACGCCGTCGCCCCGGTTTGAGTTGCACGACCACGCCATGTCGATCGAAACCGACCTGACGCCGATGACCAGCTACCACGACTTCCTCATCTCGACGATCAACATGCGGACGGCTGGTGGCTATTCGCACAACCATCAACCGACCGCGCAACTCTACGCGCAGCTGCAGTCGACGAGCGCCGCCGACAAGTGGGCGCAGCCGCGCCTCGTCGGGATCGAGTACCTCGTGCGCTGCTTGGGCGGACGGGCGACCTGGCACGCCGGCGTCTTTTCGGCCAAGCACGCGCTGAAGCACAACTGCCTGCACCGCAGCTTGTTGCGTGCGACCCAAGCCCTCGATCTGCTCTGCGCCGCATTCAGTGTCAAGAACCACGTCATTGCCCTTACGGAGACGGTTCTTGCGGAGCACAAGATCGTCCTCGCGTACCGAGCGACCATCCGCGTTGACGATCTGCCAGCGGCCAAGACTGTGCTCTCCATCAACTTCTTCAAGCGCCTCAAGGAGCTCAAGGTCGCCCGCGGCACGTCGTTTGCGCTGACCGCCACCATCACGTGCTGGTACCTCAACGGCTGTGAGATCCACGCCGTCGACCTCGACGCTGATGTGGCCGCGCTCTAAGTTCTAGCATCGTGTCTGTGTGTGCGTAATTTTGTCAACATAATGCGTTTGCATATCATAACGTTAAGTCGGATTATGTGAGTGGTATAGGGTTCTTCTGCTCGCGCCACTCACCAACACCCAACAAGCTCAGCGACAGAGTCGGTTGATTCATCTCACAGACCAGTGGACCAGTGGTCACAGGCTTGTTGGC